CTTCAGATAGAGTTCCAAATTACATGCTGTATCAATTATATTATACAGCCTTGCCATGAAAACAACAAAAAGATTTGTTGGGAGTGACCACAGCTACAGTGCGGAATGCCTGACACTGATTTCAGTGATGTAACTCCTGTGACACAGTGACAGGAAAATTTATGGCTGGATGTCCATAAAACTTTCATGGGGAAGTGAGGTTAATGTTGAGACATTTTGAGCGATCCCATGAAAGCCGTAACATATATGTATTTACATGCACATATAATAATATATAAACTGTATTATATTTATGAAAAATGTATGAATAAATGCAGTACTCAATTTTGTGTGTGATGAGGACTATTAATTAAGATCTACTCTCTTAGCAACTTGCAAAGATGCAATACAGCGTTAATATAGTTACTATTAAGTAATTTAATTTTTAAAACCTATCAATAATATATCTTAAGGCAACCATGAATCCTATTTTATTCATTTTTATTTGCCTTAAAAATTTACAGGATCTCTGTCCTCTGCCATTTCTGCAAAACACTTTAATTTTTATTTCATTTTGGTTCAGAAGATAGGCAGATAAAGAAATTCCCTTGCCTGTGTCTACGACTTTTATGATTTGGAACTGTTATTTCATATTGTTTCCTTCCTTTTCTGGTTATAACAGGCATAGCAACCCAGATGGCTAGTATATAAATAATTTGAGTTATGCTTTTTAAAATCATTTAGGATAGCCTCGGAGTTTCCTGATACCCAGGACCATGTGTTTATTGCTCCGGGTATTACCTTCACGCTTACGCTTATGTGTGTTAGCTTTTTCACATGTCTTAACCTCTACCTTCCTCTTATGTATGAGAAAAGTTTCTCAGACTGAATTTAACCCTCTTGAGGCTCTGTTGTGAAACTTTAATCCCAGCCTGGCTCCTGTTTTATTTCTTGCTTTATTTTCCTGTTATTGCTGTTCGCAGTAGTTGTGCCTCAAATTTTGCAGAATGAAGGTAGTCAGGTCGGAATCTTGTCTTGGTTCTGTATGCAGCTCTTCCACCTTGGGCAGCTTCCTTCACCTAGTTTCCTCATCTGTGAAATGGGATATCATACCTACCTCATAGGTTTGTTGAAATGTTTAGATGAGATAAAATAGAACTTGTTTACATCAGAAGTACTTGTTACTATTGTTACGGTTAACGTATTTTGGAAAGAAAATTTTCATAATTACAGAAAGACATATTCAAATACCACGTACTGCAGTTTCATGCCAGGGTCTTTTGGAAGAAATATCTGTTTTTCTGAAAGCATCTGAGTATTTATGTAAAAGCACATTCCACAAGCACAGTATATATAAGTGTTAGCTACCTGCTAGCATTAGGATTTACTTTCAGTTCTTTTCACTGGATCCAAGGTGAAACTTTGGATCATGAATAGCTGGAGGAAAGTTTCTCTTGGCACCTGCCTGGGTTCTCTTCTGTTGCCCCTGGTTACCTGTTCCACCGTGATCTGCTTTGGAACCTCACCATCCCATCTGTCATTGTCCCACGTCAATCGAGCCAGTCCACATACAGGCTCTCCAGGAAGAGAGACCAGAGACTGGTACTGCTCATCTTAGCCCCAGTGTTGGAAACTACCTGTAATCCTCTCGACAGCCCCATGAGTTAGGCAATTATTTATTCCTAATATTATGCGGATTACTATTTTGGAATCAAAAAATCATTACAGTTTGAAAAGTATGAGTGTACTTATGAAAAAGAAGAATATGATGAATTTATAGTATCTTGAAAATTCAGAGCTTATGGTTGCTATAGTAATGGTATCATAATGTATTTAATGAAGAGAGATATACTTTGTATGGGATTAATCTGGCCCATTGATCTACAAATCTGCCAGTGAGTTTCAAATATTCTTTTTCTGTGTATGTGTATAAAACTTCAATATGGAAAATAAACTGAGCTTGAAAAAGGATGCTCATTTTGCTCATTGACCAGAAAAACATACAGTCACATATAAATCATTTGTATGTGAACCAGTTCAGTGGGAAGTAACTGTATAGCAGCTTGACCCAAACATCTTATTTCCAATCACTTTAAAAGGAAGTTTTAACACAAGTCTGTAGAAGAGATTTGCCTCTTTAATATACTTTAGTTAGCCAAGCATTAAAATTTCATACTGTTTTCATCAGTTAAGATATATCTTTATAAAGGTGGCACTAGTGGTAAAGAATCCTCTTGCCAATGCAGGAGATATAAGAGACTTGGATTTGATCCCTGGATTGGGGAAGATCCCCAGGAGGAGGGCATGGCAACCCACTCCAGTGTTCTTGCCTGGAGAATCCCATGGACAGAGGAGCCTGGCGGGCTACAGTCCATAGCGTCACAAACAGTTGGACATGACTGAAGTGAGTTAGCACACACACACCCACCTTTATAAAACTGAACCATATATTCTTGAATTATCTTCTGTGATTTTTATAATATATATTTATATATAATACTTTAGAATCATTTAATTCTGCATACCTAACAGTAATTGTTTCCAAATTAAGAAAATGCAATGTGTAAAATCACAAATTTGTGTAACATAAAATGGGAACTTTTAGTCTCATAAAATGATTCTTCTTTTTACTCTTTTGTATCAGTGCCAGTTAATTACAAAAATAATCACTCAGTTGCTAAATTGTGTCCAACTCTTTGCAACCCTGTGGACTGTAGCCCACCAGGCTCCTCTGTCCATGGGATTTCTCAGTCAAGAATACTGGAGTGGATTTCCATTCCCCTCTCCAGGGGATCTTCCTGACCCAGGGATCAAACCTGTGTCTCCTTCTTGGCATGTGGATTCTTTACCACTGTGCCCCCTGGAAAGCCCACAAAAGTAATACTGTGTCATAAAAGCTTCAACAATACGTATAATGTACACACAGAGTCTGTTGTCCCCTCCTTGTCACTCCTAACCTTGAAGGGTGACCACTGTTGACAGTTCAAGAGTGACCTCACAGACCTTTTTCCATGCCCCTGAAAACATGTAGATGTATTCCTATAGAGTGATTGTTACATTCCTACAGAATTAGAAGCATTGTTATTTGAAAAAAAAATTAGTTTGGTGATGTTGGTCTTTCTGCTAGAAGGAGTGGTTTTCACAAACACTGGAACATCATTTTATCATAAACCGGCTTTCCAGGGAACTAGTTTGAAAGAAGAATATTTTATTAACAGGTGTAAAATCAAGGGTGATTTAAGTGAGATGCTTTGCCTTTGCTTTTCTGTATTTTGCAGCACCCATGGATAGTTTATTTATGAAGAAGGTAGTATTCAGGGGGGGCAGAAAAACAGCTTATGTCAACTAAAGTAATAAACTGAGTTAATCCCAAATTGACAAATAAATCCCTTTAAAACTACTTATTTCAATCAAGGAGCAGTCTACCCAGTCTGTCATCTTTTTGAGCTTATTAATAGTGGAATTTCTTAGGTGAATCTTCAAACCCTTTGTCTGCAACATTCTCAAGTTATTGATGAGGATTTTCTGTTGGAAAAGCCAACACTATTTGTTGTTTGATGCTTTTTTTTTTTTAATTATTTTTATGTTTTTAACACCCAAAACACTTTGTATTGGGGTATAGCCGATTAACAAGTTGGGATAGTTTCAGCTGAACAGTGAAGGGACTCAGCCATACATATACATGTATCCATTCTCCCCCAAAACCCCCTCCCATCTAGGCTGGCACATAACATTGAGCAGAGTTCCACGTGCTATACAGTAGAGTTTGGTTCCTTCTGCATTTTAAATATACCAGTGTGTACATAACCTTCCCAAAGTCCTTAAGTATCCTTTCTCCCCAGCAACCATGAGTTCATTTTCTGTCTGTGAGTCTCTTTCTGTTTTGTAAGTTCATCTGTATCACTTCTTTTTAGATTCCACATGTAAGGAATGTCATATGATGGTGTTTGATGCTTTAAGTCGCAGTGGTTTTGGGGGGCAGGGAGAGTGTAAGGGAGCTGACTGCCTGAAAGCCCTTGTCACTGGAAGAAATATATACAGAAGATAGGGACAGTGCATCAGCACTACTTCATTCAAAGCTTTCTCCTCAAATGAAAATATAAACATACAGTTAGTGAAATATGTAAGAAAATGTGGACCTTTTCAAAGCATTTGTGACACAAAGCAGTGTAGAAAGTGGATACATAAAAACCAAAGGTTTCACCCTTGACAGTATGGCTGATTCATGTCAATATATGGCAAAAACCACTGCAGTATTGTAAGTAATTAGCCTCCAACGAATAAAAATAAATGGGAAAAACAAACAAACAAAAAACCCAAAGGTTTGATTTCAGGTAATAGCTGTGAATGGTAATTTCATTTTCCTAAGAGTAGTCTAATCATGTATCTCTCTTTAGATTTTTTTTTAACACTCTAGAAATTTTATTTTTAAGTTTGAATTTGTCACTTTAATAACCTTTTTTTTTTCCTTGAAGATAACTTTCTATAGGTTTCCTGTGGTTTAGATCTTACATTTTTTTCAGTTAATTAATTTACTTTTTATTGATGTGCACTACAGCCCATAGGGTTGCAAAGAGTTGGATGTGACTGAAGCAACTTAGCACACACGCACACTTATGAAAGTAACATGTTCGTGGTATATAAAATTTGAAAAATGCAAGAAACAAGAGAAGACACATGCCATCACTCATTTCAAGCTGCAGAGTTTACTGTGAGCATTTGTCATGCTTTTGTCATACATTACATTTATATTTGTAGACTGACCTGTTAGGTATAATCCCATTTTGTCTTAAGCAACAGATATGTATGCAGGCATAAAGTGCACATACATATATGAAAACATATCCTCAGTAAAACTTGGATAAGGCTAAACATACTGTGTGTTACCTCCTTTTTTCACCTGTTTTTTTTTGCATTATAATATACATAACTATTTTAATGCCATTGTATTTGGAAGTGAAATGCTTCATTTCTGTGAATAAAAAGTTCTTGAAGTCAATCATCTGGCTTCTTCTCTGCAGGAAGAATGTTTCCTGAACCTGGAAGCTCCTATATCAAGGGTGTGTGGGTACGACACACCGTTCCCTCACATTTTTGAACCGTTCTACATTCCAGACAAGTGGAAGTGCTATGATGCCCTTCGAAAAATGATCAACTATTGACCACAGGTAAGCCTGCCCTGTGTTTTAAGAAAGCTAGTGAGCGCCCCTCACATTAGTGTCCGGGTGACCAAGAAGCAGCTGTCATCAGTGTGTTGTCTTTTCATAAATGGCAACTTCCAGAACAGAGTGTGGATTTCAGAAAAAAAAATTTAACTTATGATAGCATGTTTATGTTTAATAGAAACATATCAAGCATATGCATTATCTGATTTCTAGAACACAGATATATTCATATGTTACCATTGAATAATTATGGGATGAACATGCATCTGCCATGACTCTAAATACACCTTACCTTGTTTTTCTGACTTTTACCATCATTTCTGTATATTTTTATCAGCAATTTAAACCATTCGTGAATAGAGGTAATTTCTGTTATATAAAGATAACTTTAAGCACCATTCATTTGGACTCCAGCTGTTTAAACTATATGGTGTGATCCATAGCATTCTGAAATTTGCCTTTATATTATCTTGAAAGATAGGTTTGTTGAGCAGGAAACCTATTTATTATGTATAAGTGAAATTATTACTTAAAGAGAGAAAAATCCAGTGCCACTACCATTTCCAGAAACTTTCTTGGCTAGTGAATGTTTTAAAATGGGGGATAATGCATGATATTTATTCATTGTGATTTTCTAGGTCATGCTTTTCTGTCCCTCCAGCAGTGTTATTCTAGCAAAAAATGAAAAACCATTAAGTTAGTTTTCAGGGTTTTAATATAGAAGGTGCTATCGATGATACACTGATTTATTTATCTCTAACATTTTTTAAATGGTTCAAAATGTGTAGCTAGGGATTAAATGCTTTACATTTTAATATAGATTGTCCAAATAATAATATTATTAATACATTTTGAAGAGCCATGATCTTTGAAAGGAAAAGTGAGAATGGGCTTCATATAATAAAGCCCATATGTTTTAAAGATTAGAAAATACTATGATTCTTAAATTCTGTGTGTGGGTAGTAAATCAGCTCACCTCAAACCAGAGAGATACCTTTACATTTGAGCGTATAGAGAAAATAATGCCTTCTCTGCCACTGGGATCCCCACCTTTTTTTGTAGTTCTGTTCTGAGGATCCTGGAGAAGGGAATGGCTACCTGCTCCAGTATACTTGCCTGGAGAATTCCATGGACAGAGGAGCCCGGCGGGCTACAGTCCATGGGGTCACAAAGAGTCGGATATGACTAAGCAACTAACAGATTCTGCGGATATTGTCACAGGGCTGTTAGTAGGGCGATTAGTTTCCATGCCGCGGAAGTCTTTCAGACATGCAGAGGTAGAGGCTGTATTTCTGATGTCTTCTCAATGTCTGTGAGTGCACCTAGCGTCAACAGTCTCTCTTGGGTCTGGTTGGAAGACTTCCTCACTTTTATGTACATCTTGTTCCTTCTATGGACCATCCATTATGGGCAGTCCAGGTAATAATGTGCAGCTCTGTGCCTTGTTCCTTCTTCTAAAGTAATATTTAGGTGCTGATTTTAAATTTGAGTATGTGTTTCTTTTTAAACCTAGAAAACAAAAAGTTTAGACCTTTCATGAAATTATGATAAGACTGCTCTTCAATGCTAAAAATTAAAAGTGGCCTTAAAGAAAGTAGTCATGTAATTGAGAAAATCTGTGTTTAATTCACAGTGGCCAGAATGTCTATAATTGTTATTGATTTCTTTTGCAGAAAAACTGGAAGATTATGACTAGATATGGAAATATTTTTCTGAATTTTTTATATTCCCTCTTCTTGAAAATAGAGTTTTTATGAAATGAACCAACTTGGATATTGGCTGAAAAATCATGAATTAATTATTGTATTCACACATATGAATTGATCATTTCCATTGAGTGTTTCAGATTCATTTTTAAAAACAGTCTCCATGGTAGGCTTATAAATTTCATTCAATTATGTCTGTAAATACTGGATGTGGGACACTATTCAATAAAGCAAAAATCAGATTGTCTTCAGCGTGCGTCTCTTTTTTTCCGTTTAGTTAAAAGAACTTTCTTGGAAGAGTGAACGAGTCCTAGTAACTTGTTAATTAAATCTGAATGAAAGTGAAATGTTCAGAAATGTTGATTTTTCAATTTTACTCGTTTTGGTTTCGTTCTTTATGGCTAAGATGGTTGTATGTTGGCGAAACTTCTGGAATGTTTTTATTTTTCTTCTGTCTCATTCCAACTAGGTGGTGTAGTAAGGGGAACTCACTTTTTCTCCTGTGCGTAGCAAGGCAGGATCGTCCTTGCTGCCTCGCTTCCTTTTTTGGGAGATGGACATCCTCAGCCTGTCTTTTGTTACAAAATCACCAAGCTTTTGTTTTCTTTTGGTTTTGGCCCTGGTGTTGCAAAGCAAATATTTTTTCCATGTCCTTTATATTATGATGCAGCTAAAAAGAAAAACAACATTAACAGCTACGAAAGGAGGAAGCCTCCTTGCTGAGGGCTTTCTCAGGGCCCCTTGTTTCCGTCTGTATCTTTCGGGGCCCCTTTGCAGAGTCCTCACCCCCAGCCCTGTCCCCAAAGGGCCTGCATTCCCTCCCATTTACCCCAGAAGAGCTGCTCCTCACCAATTCCAATGGAAATATCCCTGCCTTCCTTCTCCAAAAAGCAGAGAAATAACATTGTATAGTGTTTTCCCTACTCTATGAACACTGGAAAAAAATGGACTTTTTTTTATGATTGCAAATGTATATGTTACTTTAAAATTGCAATTTAAAAGTTGTCTTCTGTTTATTTTTATCAAATATTTGGAGAAGGATATGGAAAGTGACATTTGCAGACTGCCAGAAACTTGGAGGAAAGTAAAGGCACGTTGGAACAGATTCTAGAAAGCAGGGGCTGAAATAAAGAAGCAATGCATTTGTTAGGGGTGAAAATAAGGCCCTGTCCTTGGTTTAAAAATAGAAACACCTGTACAGGATAAGACAGGAAAAGATGTATTTGTCAGTGAGAAGCTTGGAAGATTTAGGGAATCCATTTGACTTAGGTTCAGGACGTTCTAAGTTGAGGGCGCCAGAACTCAGTATGAACCTTGGCTTTGTCCTTCATGCTCCACTGAGTCTCCGAGCTTCTTTGCAGGGAGCTCTGCGCTCACATGGCCAGTCCAGCAGAACAGAGAATGTGAGCTGGTCATCCACCTCTTGGCCGATAATGTTTTTTTTTTAAGAACATCTTTTAGTTGCACTTATTCTTTTAGTTGGTATTATTTATGATTTCAGTTGAAGTTACTTGTTTTATTGCCATTGGTATCCTTTTTAAATACTATTTTTAAAATTCATTTGTTATTGTAAGAATTTTCCCTTAGCTATTTTAAAATTATTTTCTTTGACTCTGCTTTCTTCCTCCAGCTAGCACTGCAGTGCCCACCAGTAAATGACCCCTTCCCTCCAAAATAAACAGCTCACAGTTCACCTTAAGCTCAGTCTATGGCACTTGGTGTACATATACATCTACAAAATTGTCTTAAATACACTTTTTTTTAACATGAAACAGATTGTTCCATATTGTAAAAATAAGAAAAGAGAAATGAGAAGACACTAAAAAAATGTTAAAGGAATTCCAGACTCCACACTACTGCCAGCTTCAGGAGAGTCTGCTCCATGTGACAATAAGAATGTCAATGTAATCTTCTATAGTTCCAATTATCCAGTTCCTTCAGGCTTCCCTGGTGACTCAGGGGTGAAAGAATCTGCCTGCAGTGCAAGAGACCTGGGTTTGATCCCTGGGTCAGGAAGATCCCCTGGAGAAGGAAATGGCTACCTAGGCCAGTATTCTTGCTCGGTGAATCCCCATGGATAGAGGAGCCTGGTAGGCTACCATCCATGGGGTCACAGAGTCAGACATGACTGAGCGACTAACACTTTAGGGTGAAAAAAAACACACCACATTCATGTTCTATATAATCAATAGATGTCATCCAAGCTAAATAAACATTAGGGGGAGAAAATGAGTCATAGGAGCAAGACAATGACCTCATTTCAGTGCCTAAAATTTAAGTCACAGAAGCTGAAATCTCTTGTGGGATCCTGAGATGTCCCACGGGGCATCCACACTCAGTCTCGTGAAGCCTCCTTCCCGTCAGCCTGCCCCTGTTGGGTTCGTGTGGCTTCTGGCTGCTTGGCCTCCCTGCCCCCACTTCTAGTTACAGCACTGCTGTTTGTTTAGAGAACTCCCTCTCCCAACGCATGTGGCTCTGGGGGAGCTGCCAATCTCAGGGCATCCAGATCAGCCACAGAGATGGCCCTGGCCCAGGCTCGCTGGGTACCACAGATCAGAAAGTCGGGTTACTCATGCAAAAGCACAGCTTGATGAGTCTCAGCCTAGCCTTGTCAGCGACACTAAATTCTAAGTTCTCCCACTTTAACCTGTTCCTTGTACACTAGGGGTAGATCTGATGAGTGTACACCCAGGTAAGGCACACAGCCCCTGCCTTAGCAGAGATGCTTGGCTGATAGGGTGAGGAACAGGACCTCAAAGCATCAGATTGGAACTTCTAGAGAAACATGAGGTTTGGGCACTCTGATATGTTTTCTTAGGCCATTGAACTTGAAAAGAAATAGGAAACATTCATATGGGGCAAAAATTTGGAAACCCTGACACCTGATGTGAAAGTGAAAGTAGCTCAATAGTGTCCAACTCTTTGCGACCCCATAGACTATACAGTCCATGGAATTCTCCAGGCCAGAATACAGGAGTGAGTAGCCGTTCCCTTCTCCAGGGGGTCTTCCCAACCCAGGGATCAAACCCAGGTCTCCCACATTGCAGACAGATTCTTTTATCAGCTGAGTCACAAGGGAAGACACCTGATACCTCCTGAATATAGTAATTAAAGATATTTGCCAGGATAATGAGAAATAAAATTAGGGCAAGAATGAGGAAGTCATAGGTAGAAAAGACTAGAAGTGAAAATGGAAACAAGCTAGATGAAAAGATACACATCAATAATTGTCATAAGTACACTACTTTTTTTTCTTGGCCAAGCCACATGACTTGTGGGATTTTTGTTTCC